GGGGGGGCGCGGGGTCGGGGGGGGGCAGGGGAGCAGGCCCAGAGATCCAGGTGGACAAGAGTCAGCTGGCTGGGGGTCATCCCAGCCCCTTCCACCTGCAAGGGTCTTGCTGCTCAAGAGCAAGGGCCTGGGGTCAGCGTGGACCCGGGGAGACACAGCACACAGGCCGCCAGGCCATGGTGACGGGACCACAAGAGCCTGGGGACCTGGCGGCAGGCACCTTGGCACTGTCCCCAGCAAGTCTGCTCCTAACGATGCCATTTCCTCTCGCTCCCCACAGGCCTCAGCCTTAAGCCCAAAGCCAAGTGAGAGTGCCCGCGGCCGGCCCCCACACAGCAGTGGGCCCCTGGATGTACTGCTGAGTGGGGCTCCTCCAGGGCCAGGCTGGAACTGGGCCCCTGAGAAACCAAAACTCTGTGCCTTACCCTCCAGGGAGGTGGGCCTCCCAGAGCTGCTCGGGGGCATTCTGGCCGAGACCCCAGCAGGCACCAGGCCCGGCCCCCTGCCCCCTCCTGGACAGCCTGCACGCCCCCAGCCCTCTTGTGGTCTGCTTTCTGAATGCCGATGCCCACGCCTGCACCCGCATGCACCACAGCACCCCTACGGGCAGGTGGGCAGTGGCTATGTCCCCAGGGCGCCTCTCAGCTTGCGCCCTGCCCTCCAGCCACCTGGTGCCCAGATGCTTCTGGAGACAGGCCCTCACAGACCTCTCCCCACAAAGCCATGGGAGCCAGGCAGAGCTGGAGCTCCCACACCCCCACCCGCTGCCTCCTCACCCAGCCCCGGTCCCCTGCTCCCAGCTCTGCCTCTCAACCTGTGGCTGGGCTGGAGCTGAGTGGTTTTTAACTGAAATATGATTGTTTATGCATCTCTGCTCTTCTGTGGTAGCTGAGTTGGGCATAGGTGGCGGGAGGGAGGACCCTAGGGCCTGGGCTAGGGGCAGGCTGGCCGGCATCACCACAAACAGGCCGTGGTCCCCCCGCTCAGCAAACGGAGGCGGGAGGGATCCCATGCGGCTGGCCCCCGTCCCGGTACCCCCAGCCCTGGCTGCCACGGCCAGGGCCTGGCCGCCTTGTCGCCAGAATGACTGTCCCTACCGCTGCCTCCTCCAGAGGGACCGGGCTCTCCCCGCGCTGGGCTGAGAGGAGGCCGAGGACCCAGGCCTGGTGGCTGCCAGCTCCCCCTACCCCACCCCTGCCCCAGGTGTGTGCTCCCGAGGCTGGCGTCTGCAGAGGCTCAGACCAATAAAGAAGAAAAGAGCTGGCCCCGGGAGCAGCGACGTGGCATTCAGGAGCAGCGGGCAAACGTGCAGTGACCTTTCCCAGCGGCTGTGCTGACGTGGGTGGGCGGAGGCGGGCCTGCCTGCTTCCAAAACACCCCCGGGACGGGGGCAGAGCCGGTGCCAGACAGACCCCAGAGTGGGGGCGAGGGGAGCCCAGAACGTCCATGCAGAAATCTCACCCGCTGAGTCTTCGGCGGATTTACAAGGCCTTCGAGCACTGGGATCCAGTTCTAGAATATATTCCGTCACCCCCCCAAAGTTCCCTTAGCAGCCACTCCCCATGCCGCCTCCCCCAGCCCCCAAATCTGCTTTCTCTCTCCATAGATTTGCTTTCTGTGGACGTTTCCTATAAATGGAGCCCCACTACGTGGCCTTTCGTGGCCGGCTTCTCCCACGTAGCGTGTTCTCGAGATTCACCATGTTGTAGCATGTGGTGGGGTGGGATTCCGCCGTCTGGGTGGGCCTCGCCCTGCCTCACGGTGTGGACACCCCCGGGGGGGTTTCCGTGGGAAGCTGCTGTGAATATCCACAGGCTGGTCTGCGTGTGGACGTGGGTTTTGGTTTCTCACGGGCCGGCTCAGTAACTGTTTAGGAAACTGCGAGGTGTCTTCCAAAGCGGTGGCCCCGTTTTGCACTCGAGGATGTGAGCACCTGTGCCGGCGTCTGAGGGGTCTGCGTCCGGGCCCACCGCGCGTGAGGCGGTCCGTGGGGCGCTGTGACCCAGGGTGGAAGCCCCAGGTGGCCGAGCCCACCCGCTCCCTCGGGCCCGCCCTGCTCCCTCAGTGAGCCCCCCAAGCTCGGTGACCTGTACTGCCACTACCCCGGTAACGGGCCCACGGTGCACAGGCCGCCGCAGGGACGTGTTCTAATTCAGGCAAGGCCGTGTGACAGGCCGGGCCCAGCTGCTGCCGGGCCAGGACAGGGCTGTTTATAGAAAAGCCCGACTCCCCCAAAGACCCGCCAGCTATTTATAGACTGGGCTTGGGGGAGTTGGTGCCCCTGCTGGCCAGCATCCGGCCCTGCAGATCCCACGTGAACCCCCACGGTGGCCCCCTGAGCCCCAGGAAGGGCCCCCAGCCAGCATCCCCCTTCCGCAGAGGGAAGCACCCCGTCTGACGGGACTCCGGCACATCTCCCTCCCCTCCGCGGCTCCAGTGGGCGTTCCAGCTGCTCAGCAAACAACCCTTCCTGCCTTCCTGCTCCCTCCTGCCACCAGCCCGCCTTTTCCTTGTCTACACAGCCAGCCTCTGTGCTCCGGCTCCACTCCCACCGCCTCACTCCCAGAAACACCCAGGCCCCTGCCGGCCACCCGAGGCCTGCTCGCCCTGGCCACAGCCGGCCACCCGAGGCCTGCTCACCCTGGCCTGCCTTCAAAACATTCAGAGCCCAGAGTCTCAGGCCCTCCTGCCCCTGTTCAGTCACTTCCCACGGGCTGGCAGTGGGAGGTGGGGGGAGCGGAGGGGGGCTGCTGTCCCCCAGGAAGGCCAAGGACAGGAAGCCTGCCCCTCACACCCTACTTACCCCTGCATTATGGTGTTTGCCCCGTGGCAATGCCGGGAGGAAGGAACTGGTGGGGTCCCCATATGAGAGAAGAGGGTCCGGGACCCAGAGGGGTCAGAGCCAGGGTCCCGGTGGGAGCCCAGGGGAATGGAGGGAGGGAACAGGAAGAGAGGACTAAGCAGGGCGGGCCGGCAGCGCCGTCCTCTGCTGGGACTCTCCATGAGTGACCTCTGTGTGACCACTCTCCTCCTCCATGGGAACTTCTGTCCCCCCCGTGGGAGCCCAAGGAGCCCAGCAGCTCTCTGAGCCCTGGCCACAGGCTCATTGCTGGGCTCCAGGTCCCTCTGTACTGAGACACTCCCCCCACCAGAGAGGGAACAGGGGCTCCTGGCCCTGGGGGGAGGGGCCCATAGCGCACGCCTGCCCCCAGGGTCCATCCCCGGCCCCTCCTCCCCATGGGGCTAGCCATGTCCAAACCCGAGTCCACATGGGACGTCGGGGGACCCGGGTGGGCTAGACGGGAGCCCAGCAGACTGTAGCAAATCCTCTCTGGAAGCCCTGTCCCTCCAGAGGCAGGCCAGGAAAGGGGTCTGCTGTGGGGCCTCTTGGAGACCCTGGCCCGTGGGGCTCGTGAGCATCCCCGGCTGCTTCTCCGCGGGCCAGGCGGCCGGCGGTCAGGGGTCCTGTGTCCCTGGACTCCAGGGTCCTGCAGACCAAAGGCTGTGCCACCTGGTTGAACCTGCGAGCTGCTCCAGGCAGGCACGTTGGTCCCGCCATTGCCTGTCCTGTGCTGGGCACTGAGCCCCTGAGAGTATGGGTGGGGGCGCTGGCGGAGGGGGCACACCGTCCTCTCTCTCCTTGGCCACCAGAGCGCGCACATGGGCCCTGGACCGAGGTTTGCCTCAGGGCAGGTGCCCACCCCAAACCCCCAAAGATGCAGACCCTCCAGGTGCAGTGTGAAGACATGGCCCCCTCTCCCACCCTGAAGAGGGCCCCCCAAGTTTCTAAATCCCTGAGGTGCTGGACCTGGAGCAGGGCAGTACAGGTGCCCCCATTAGCGTTCCCGCGGGAAAAACCTGGCTGGCGCGGCTCACCGGCTGTCCCTGTGCCCCCACCCCCAGAGGTAGGTGCCCGTGGCCCAGCTTGGCTCCCCGGTGGGGGCTGGGCTGGCAGGGGCGGACCCAGCAGCCGGAGGTCACCCAGAGGCGCCACTGCACCCGCCGGGCCCGCCCCCGACCCGCCCCCTGCCCCGGGCCGGCTTCTTTTAGTGGCGCGGCGGCGGCAGGGCTGTCCCGTGGCCCAGCACAGCAGAGGAGTGACCAGACCAACATGTCGGGGACCCGTGCCTCCAACGACCAGCCCCCCGGCCCAGGCGGCGTCAAGCGGGGGCGGCTGCAGCAGGAGGCGGCGGCCACGGGCTCCCGAGTGACCGTGGTGCTGGGCGCACAGTGGGGGGACGAGGGCAAAGGCAAGGTGGTGGACCTGCTGGCCACGGACGCCGACATCATCAGCCGCTGCCAGGTGCGGGGGGGGGGGGCCCACCCACCCAGCAAGCCCCCTCCTCCCCTTGCACCCAGGGGCCCTGACCTCCCTGTTCTCCAGCACCCTGACCTGGGCACACCTCTTGGATAGCTCCCCTTCCTGGACTCCCTCCCCGCTTCGGCCGCGACCCCTCTGCATGCACACTCTCCCCTCCCCCACTCCCTCCCCCAGGACGGCCTTCCCCACCCAGCCCCACCCCTCCAGGCAGGGGGCCAGGGAGGAGCTATAAATACCTTAGCTGAGTTGGGGACACCCGATCTTCAGGCGGGTGGGGTGGGTGCACCATGGGTGTGACACTGGGCCCTCCGGTGTGGGGGTGGGGTGGGGTGGGGCCCCCAACTCCTGGTTGTCAGGGTCTGGCACGGGGCTGGCCATGGGGTGGCCCTGGGTGGCCAGCCAAGAGGACGCAGAGGCAAGGGCAGGACAGTGGGCCAGGACCTGAAGGAAGACGGGACCGGGACCAGGAGGGTCCCCACCCAGACTGGGGTGGGGGGAGAGGGAGGGGCCATGGCTGGCCGGCCAGGGTGACCCAGCGGCTGGCGTGCCACCGGGGAGGCCAGACACAGGCTGTGTCCCCAAGGGCCCAGGGTGGCCACTGCCAGGTGTGGGCTGCCCTCAGTGCTGCTCCAGCGGAGCCACGCCCCTGTGCCAGGGCTGAGAGCCAGGCCTGCTGCTGGGCTGACTTAGAGCTCCGGGCACAGAGGGGACAGCTTTAGGGTGCTTGTTTTGGCTGTGCTGGGGTTTGGAGCCCTGCCCAGGAACGCTGCCCCAGATGGGGAAGAGGCACCCCCTGAGCTCCTTGTCTGGTCTGTGGCCTCACTTCCTAGCTCCGGGCCCAGAGGGCTAGGGCCAGGGGGACACCCCCAGGGAAGGAAATGGGCCCAACGGTTGGCTCAGGGAACACCCCAGCCGCTATCCGGGCCACGCCTGTCCTATGCAGACGGTGGATTCCTGGAAGGAGCTTCCTGGCATTTTGAGAGACCTCCACCCCCTCTGCCCTGAGCCAGGCGAGCAAGCCCACTCCTGGCCCTGGACAGCCTCCAGTGCCAGAGGCGGTCTCCGGGCACCCTGCTGCATGGGCTGGGGACCTTTGTCCCCCCGCAGCCGGGCACACGGTGCCAGCGCCCTCCATGTAACCTGCTGGCTCCAGTGAGCCTCACAGGTCTGTCTGTGGCCTCTCTCCTTTCTGAAGAGCCTGGGGGGGCTTTGCAGGCACTCCTGACCACAGAATGGTTCTGGAGTGGGGCCTCCGTGCTCTGCCACCTGGGTCAGCAGGACACACCAGCCAAGCACAGAGCAGGCTGGAGCCCCGTCACCTGACCTGGGGGCCCACTGGCCCCTTCGCCCCTAGGTGACTTCTCAGACTGAGATCAGACGCGTCTCCACCTGCAGGAGCCCTGGCTGACCTCACAGGGGGGCTAATCATGGGCCGTCCTGGGAGCCTAAGGCGCCTCTTCCCCTCCAGCCTCCCGAGAGTGGTGAAGCAGGGAAACTGAGGCCCAGAAAAGTTGAGGAATGAGAAGAAGCAGCATATGTGGGCCCTCACGTGTGCCACACATCCATCGAGCCAGCACGGGGTGTGAGGGTGCATAGTGAGGGCCCCACGCTGGCCCTAGAGAAGGCTTCCCCTTACCTAGAGTGTGTATGCATGAAGCTCAAAGTCACGGCCGCAGGTGCACAGAGCCAAACCCAGCCCTGACCCCAGGAGCCGGGCAGCACATAGGAGCAAGGGGCCCCAGGAAGCAGGCAGCGGGGCACGTGCAGTGGGCAGGAGTCCCGTCTGGGTGGCTGCCTGGAAGGGCTGAAGCCGGCCAGCCCCAGTGACCAGAAGGGTCACCTGGCCTGTCACTGGGCCTGGGGCCGTCCTGAGTGGCAGCTGCATCTCCACTCTGCCTCTGCTGACCCCCACCACCCCTCCTCCCATTCGGCACCCCTCTGAAGCCCTTTGTGGCCCTCAGCGGTCTGGGGCCAGGCCCACCTGCACCCCCACA